CTGCCCCCAAACATATACCTGAGATTTTTTACTCTCCTTACTCCAATGTACTCCAAAGATGGGTCAGGGAAGACCTGGCTGACCTCTAGAAGGTGCAAGCTTTGCTGTACAAGTGGGGTCCATGCCACTCTCTGTTGGCCTGCCCCACTGTGAGGAGATCATCTGGGCTTTTCAAGTCCTGATGTTGTTTCCTGCCTTTGCCCAGCATGAGCTTATGGTAGTAAGGGTGATATTAGGCAAGAATGGAAGCTGTGGTTAAAGTGTGGAAGAGAAGGAGGTGAAGAAGAGATCAGGACGAGGCAACAGTGAAGGGACATTAGAAAGGAGTAGACAGGAGAGCTGCGTAAGAATTTGCTTTTCCCCTGCCTCATCCTACTCAGAGCCACACACAGCCAAGTGCGAATCATGGGCCTCAATCATTTATGAGCTCTTCAGTCGTGATAAAATGATTTAACCTTGTAAAGCAGAATAATGCTGGGATTCAAAATAAGTCTGTCTGATTGAAGAATCCAAATGTTTTCCCGGATTATATAGCATCTCCTAATTTATATCCACGTAATATATGCTCAATAATGAATACAGTAATTAATAACTTCCCAGATGGTGGCTGAGCTTGTTTTTAAATTCTTATAGTCAAATAAGTTGGGACAATGTTACAAGGAGATTAGTTAGGAAAAAAATGGCATGTCATTTATTATCAGTCCGGAACATTTGGAATTGTCACTTGTAAGAAATAAGCTCATTATTAATAGAAGATTACTTTTCTCGTCTCTGTGTGACTATTTTCTGAAATTAAAAATAAACATTTTCTTTATTGAGAAAGCAATGCATGTTTATCTAATGCAAATTAGAAAATAAAGATAAGCAAATACACAGAATTAAACATCTGCATACCCTTCCACCTAGATATAACTGCTGTAAATACCTTAGTATATCCCTCTAGAATTTCTGTGCTTCAGCATAGCATTTAAAAACCTGTGGCACACTTTCTTTCACTTCATAACCCTGGCCAACAACATTCCATATCCATACATTTGCCCTTATTATATCACTTTTTATGTTGCCCTGTTTGTTTGTTTGTTTATTGTAAGGAGTTCAAACTTGTGACCTTGCACTCGCAAGCTAGGTGGCGGCACCACTGAGTTAAATCCCCGGGCCATGTTGACTTATGAAGGTGAATGATTTTGTTTGATTTTTAAACCACATTTGTTTACACAGAAGTCAAAAACCCACAGATAAGAAAACATCTGAAGAACCCAGGTGTGACTGTGTAGAGAGGCTGAGTAATTCAAAACAAAGTGCAAAACAGAAAAACAATCACAACCAGTTTGACAGTCATGTGTCTGTTTCCTACAGCCCTTCTACCTACAAGTCTGTTGCTGACTTCAAAGAAAAGTCAGCACAGAGGAGGTCCGGAGGATAAGGTGCAAAAGGAGAATCAAATCTATGATAAGAGATTAAAGGGAGGTTGATCAAAGACCTAGCATAGATGTGCTAGCCAGAGACTTGCCTTGGCCCATGGCCCCAAAATATTCGTCAGCACGGAGTTCTCTTTGAAGTGCTTGGGAGGACCATACTCAGATGAGCTCTGTGGTCCAAGAGAACTTACAGAGTGCCATGGCCAGGAGTTAGCAAAGTTGGCTTTTCCCAGAGCTGCTCAGCAAAGGGCCCCAGTACTGCTGCTTGGGCACGTTGGGCAGATGCAGGGAGTATGACTCGACTGGGAATCCGGGAGGAAAGTGACATAAGAGGGGGAACATAATCCTTTCTCCTGCTAGAGTGTAGGCCGTAGAGCTGCACTCACACAATGGTGGCTTTCTGCTAGGAGCACAGAACTTTAACCTCCTCCATCCTTTTTACTGGGTGTTTAAAGGGCACATTGCATCTCCACATAGGCGGTAAGATGTGCTCCTTACCCTCTGTGTGCATTCTTGTTCACCACTGTCAGAGCCCTGTGGTGTTGTGTCAAACACCGTCCCCTTCCCCAGAGAAAGGAAGAAAATAAAAGTGCTTCCCAAATGGACTAGGCTTTACAACAGTCATCTTAAAGTTTTTAGAGAGAAGTTGTATAAAATTCCTAAACCTTTTGAGGCTCCAGTTCATTTTTACTTTTCAAGGAACTTATTTTTCTCTCAGTTTCCTAGTTTTTACTCAAGGTACTAGAGTTTTCCACAAATGGTCTTGATTAAGCACAGTGTTAGGCCCTGTGAAAAAACTAGCAGTGCATTTCCTACCTTAATAGAGCCACAGTCCAGAAGAGAAATAATGAATTTATACCCAGAAAATCAACAGGTAATAAGCTGACGTGGACAGTCTTTTGAAAGAAGAGAATTTGACTTGAGTTTTTAAAATGCCTGAAGTTTGCCTGTAATTCCATTACTCTGGGAGACAGGAGCATTGCAAGTTCAAAGCCAGCCTGAGAAAATTGCAACTTGGTGATTACCCAATCTCAAAATAAAAAAATAAAAGTCTGGGGTCATAGCTCAGTGCTAAGACCTTGGGTTCAATCCCCAGCCCTGAAAAAATAAGACCTTAAAATTTTAAAAGGAGAAAATGTAAAATAATGCACTAGCAGGAGTTGAGGCAACACAGTCCACGTTACAGGAGTGGAAAACTAAGGGATTTCTGAGCAGAAAGTGAATACACTCCTTTAATTGAAACAGGTAGCCTTTTGTGGCAAAGCAGAGAAGAATAAGCTTTGTCAAATACCTCAAGGTTAGAGCATGCTATGAAATTGGGACTTTGCCATGAATGTGTAAGGAAGGAACTGAAACCCTTGGAGTGGAGCAAATGCTGAAATGCTTTGTGAACATAATTTGCTTATAAAGTGAAGGGCAGATGGGTGGGAAGAGGCCCAGGGCCACAGCTTGGGCCTGGGAGCAGAGATTTAATACCTAAGACAGAAGAAAGCAGTGGGAATGGGGTGGATGGGATGAACTCTGGTGATGGCAAAACAAGAACTGATCCGACCAGTGGAAACAGGGGTGAGAAGTGTGTGGAAGAGGAGTAAGAGGATCCTCTCAGGATGATTCAGTTGCTCGTAAACGTCACTGTGCCTTATTACCTGGGTGCTATGTGATGGGCATACGGCGAGATTAATGACATCAACCAAATGGTTAGGGACACAGAGCAGGTGTTCACAGTGAAAACAACAAAGTAGACTCATCCACGCTGACTGAGGCAATGGGCTTTGAGAAGCTCAGAAAGAGAAACAGTCATTCTAAGCTGAAGGGAAGAGACGGGCAGGAGCTGAACCTTGAATGATGAGTGGACGTGGCAAGGAAGAGAGGAGGCCCAAGCTGCGGGGTCGGGAGGAGAGAAGCAAAGGCACAGGGTTAGGAAAGCGCAAGAGAGTGTGTGAGATGCATGGAGCAGGTCTGCCCGCCAGGAGCAAAAATTTAAAATTAAAATGCAGAGAGGAAAAAGGGAAAGGTAGAGATATGTGACTGGTCTGGTAAAGGTTTTCGAGGTCAAGTTAAAGAGTTTGTAGTTTAACATGGGAAATAATAATCCGCTGATGTTTTTGAACAAGGCTGTGGCCAGGGTAAAAGGTCTTTGGGGGAATAAAAGTTTAATCTGTGAAAGGGCAACAGGATACATAAAAGGATGAGGATACTACTGTCAGGATCAGTAGTTGGTGACTTTTAATCAAAAGAAGATGAAGATATGTGCACCCCATTAGCAGTAATCATGGCAAGGTAAAGTTACGGAAAAGATGTGAAGGAATCAAGAACACCAAGGGAAAGAGAGAAATTTATTAGAGTTTTATTCAAGATTTCAAACCTAGGGGGCTTTAGTAACAGTTTTGCTGTACACCAAAGCATAAAAGTTGAGAGAAGACTGGTTTGGAGGCAACTCTAAGTTTAACATTAATATTGAGGAGATGGAGCCTGAGCTTCTCACAAGCAAATGCGTCCAAAAGGTTGTTAGAAGTGAAGGCTTGCATCGCCAGCTGGAGAACAGATTGAATACAAACTATGGAAAAAATAACCCACATAGTTCAGCAGTTGTTTGAAGTGTCTTAATTAATTGATTGATTTAGAAAGTAAAGTTCTTTCAAAAGCTCCTTTGAGAACTTATACTCTCTTGATACTGATGAGTTCTCAATTGCTCTTTTGTTTCCATTGCAAAACATTTCAACTTTTTATGAGAAAGGCAGTGTGGAGGACTGTAGCAGGATTTCCTCTGTTTAAAATGTAGACTTTGTGGGTATCAGGCCATATTCTGATCTTCAAGTCATAATTCAAATATTACCCATCTTTTTATCAATGCAGCAGCTACCAGAGTCAGTGTCTTGCACCTTACGCATAATCATTGTTGGTTTATTTGCATTTTCATTATAGTTCTCAAAAATAAAAGACTAAACATAAGAAAAACTAACGAGCTTATAGCCAATTTTATAAAGACATACTCTATATAAACAAATGCAAATCAGATATAAATTTGAATCGCAAAAATTTTCATTAGCAAGATCCAAGGAATAATAACGGACTTCAGATCCCTACTAGAATGATAAAAATCCACTAATAATCCTTGATCCTTTGGAGTCTCAGAAATATTTCAGAAATCACAGCATCTTGAAGAGTAAAGCTGACAACTAAAAGTTATAGAGCGATGAGTGTCATGATGTTAATCCCAGGCCCAGGATGACCAAAGCAAAGCAGACTTGTATTCTTTTCTCTTCTGAAATAGGCACTAGCAAGAAATTCAGTTATCTGTGGGTATGTGGTCCTGGAGACTTATTTGGGTGGGGAGGGTCTCAGAGACTTAGAATGAGATGACTAAGACCTAGAATAAAATGAGCTGACTATAGTAGAGAAAAGGACAAAGCACAGATAATAATTATCATGCCACCAGAACTGATAATTATATAGGTAAGAAAAAGAAGCTTCAGTACAGTTGATGTGATCATAAAAGGAAGTGATGAGTCCTTCTTTCCCTCTTCTAAACTCTGAGAGATATACCCTTTATTTTATCTAATCCCTTTTTTGGTCTTACAGCCGCTCGACTGATCCAGAACATGGATGCAACCATTGAGCCTTGTGCAGACTTTTTCAAATATGCCTGTGGAGGCTGGTTGAAACGCAATGTCATTCCTGAAACCAGTTCCCGTTACAGTAACTTTGACATTTTAAGAGATGAGCTGGAAGTTATTTTGAAAGGTTGGTCGTGCTTGGGTTTGGGCATCAAAGATTTCGCTCTTCATCCATGAGCTTTTTTTAAGATGCAACTGTTAGCCATTGCAGGGACCATTGCAGAAGATTAAAATGGATAATTTCTACAGAATTGATGGACCGCCACTGACTCGCTGAGAGTGGTAAACATTAAAATGGGTGTGTTGGTCTCTCCACATTTCTGTTTTCATTTGTAGGCACACACAAAACAGAGATCTGTCATCCCCAGATATGGTATCTTTATGGCTTTTTACAGAAGAAAAACATTAAATGACTTCTACTGAAAACTACTCCCCAGGTTTCCTACCCTAGCCCTGTATTAAAGTTGCTGTAACACATTACTCCGGTTTGTCTCCCTTGGCAAACAGAATGTCTGCTCTAGTCCCTACTATCTCTGTCCTCTGTTCTTTCCTCTTCTAGAAGTTACTTTGTACAAAAAATGCTTTTGCTTTTTAAACATCCAATCAAGTAGAACAGTTCATTTAATTTATGTGTAGTATGAACAACAGAATCACACAGATTTCATTATTTTCCTGCATTGAAAATACTGTCCATATTAAATCCCAAATTCCTCTAAATTATTATTTATGTTCTTTTCAATCTCAATTTCAAAAGAAAAGTAACCATTATCTGTGGCAGAACTATACATATCACTACATAACACACACACACACACACACACGCACACACAAACATACAGATAACCCAGGCAAAAAAGTTTTTCATCTAACTTGGCTAACAAAACTAACTAATTTGGTGCTAGGAATGTTTATCCATCTGGTGATGAGTTTGGTATTTCTGATGGAGATTTGGAATAGGGAGGAAGAAAACAAGTTTTTTACTGAACCTGTGTTGAAAGTGTGAATATCAACTACAGTTATATTGATGCATTTTACAAAATATCTCTTTCCAGATGTCCTCGATGAACCCAAAACCGAAGATATCGTAGCAGTGCAAAAAGCAAAAACACTGTACAGGTCCTGTATAAATGAATGTAAGTGCTCTTCATTTTGATTGCACTAGGAGTGTACAGATATTGGAGTCACAGTGTGCGTAGACTTCATATTGAACCCATATCCATTGCTTTCAAAGCTGTCATTGATAGTAGACGTGGACAGCCGCTACTCAAACTCTTGCCAGATGTATATGGGTGGCCAGTGGCCACAGAAAACTGGGAACAAACATACGGTAAGGTGATTTCCTCTTCTTTAAACGAATAATGTCTACATGAAATCTATTATAATATCATTAATGAACCAAAGCATCTAAAGATATCTTTTTCCTTTCTTTGCTTCAGATACTTCTTGGACAGCTGAAAAATCTATGGCTCAATTGAGTTCTAAATATGGAAAAAAAGTTCTCATTAATTTTTTTGTCGGCACTGATGATAAGAACTCTACCTACCATATAATTCATGTAAGTGTGTATCAGACAGCCAAAGTTATCTTATATTTCCATGCACATTGCTGTCATTGATATTTAAAAATAATGCATATTTTCATTTTAAGTACCTAGGCCAGGGGGTAATAACTTCAAGATATATCTCTCCAATACCCAGGGTCTCAAATTTGAAAATATTTTCTTGATGCTGTATTTAGACCTTTGCCTCTTACTTCTACTATCTCCATTTAGATATCTCTTCCTGCAATAAATAAGTGACGAGAGTCTCCCAGGCCCTGCTATTGAAAAAAGGTCCCTGGTTTCTTTGTGTATTTAGCGAAGAGAATCATGCTTTGACTTACATAATTAATGGAGGTCTATAAGCTAAAAATCTCATTACTTTAAAAAGAATAAAAAAGGGAATTTTGAACACAATTTTAGTTCTCACTAAAGAATATCTGTACATTCTCAATTAAGGTAAATAAAATGCCATTCTTTTTAAATAGCTTTGTTTAGATTGCTTAAAATTTAAACCATCTATTTTGGGATCATCTAAGATGAGATTAATGAGTGTTTTTGGAATCAACTAAGCATTCTATAGTATTTCTATGTAGTCTTCAGTGAAAGAAAGTGCACTAAAAATTACAGGTCACAGAATCATATTTATGTCACTGCTAAATACATCTTTGTGAAGAAGCCAAACACAACTCTCTCTTGCAGTGGAATCCTTTTCTGTGTTCCAAATACTTTCCTTGGGTTCTCAGACACCAGAATCCTGCCGCATGATTGCCTTAGGGTCAGAAAGTTGTGGAAGGGACAGAGCCCTGGATGTGGAGATGCCTTTTGGCTCTTTCCACAGTGTGCCTTTGGGTTCTTTCCTATGTATTCGTCTGGGCTCTGCAGAGCTACTGGGATCCTCACTTTAACTCATAAAAGCTCTGGCTTGCCCTTGTACCCAATTTTCCCAGCCAAGCATAGGAAGAAGTCTCCAAAAATTGAGTGTGTTCAGCCTGCTCTCCCATAGGTACTTTAGGAGGAGCGGGCACACACTAGGGGATCACTGCATCTCCACGTCCAGTGGCTGTTTGCACTTCCTGAAGCCCTTCCAGCCAGAGTGATTCTGAGGAGAGCTAAAGGGCGTATTCTTCATTCTTTTGTGGTACAGGATCTCAGCAAACTTTCTAGTGGTAATATTTAAGTAGCTAAAAGCCCTATAGTTACCATAGAAGTTTTCTTCTTTTTGTAAATTAATTTTATTGGTACATTTAAGGTATACAGTGTAATGACAGTCATCATTAGAAATTTGCACCTTTACCTAATCCATCTTGGTTCTCATTTTTTCCCATTTCGCTGCCCTCATTTCAAGCCCTCCACCCCTCCTTACCTACAAAGACTAAGTTTTCTGTACTGTCCGCAAGATCCATTGAAATAAACTTGAAGGATATGACCTACTTCAACCAAAAATAATGAGTCCCAACTAAGGGTGGGAGTAAATCAAAACATCCCCCTGGGGGGACACACTGGAAGGTTGTGAAGCTGGCAAGACCTGCCAATACACAGTTTAGAAACTCCCTAATACTAAATTCTAACGTGCCTTTGTTCACCTGCGTCTTCTGCTCTGCATTAAAAAGCCTTCCTAAGATATATTTAATTAAATCTGCTCCAGTTTCCCTCAATGCACATAGCACAGTTCCTCCAGATTATTTAAATGCTCATGAGTTTTACACTGATAAGTAGCGTAGTAAAACCATTTTCTAATTATGTACTTAGTGTCTGATTGTTACCCTTATAAATATCAAGAAGACTGGGCCTTTGTGCATTCACAGACAGGAATGCTTAATATTTTGTCCGGCTCTTTTATATCTGCTGAATGGTTTATTTCTTTGATGTCTATGTTTTACAGTTTGACCAACCTCGACTTGGCCTCCCTTCCAGAGACTACTATGAATGCACTGGAATATATGCACAGGTAAATGAAAGAGGAGAAAAGAAATAACCAAAAACAAGCCATAGAACTATATGGTGTTCTATACATAATCAAAAAGACTGGAGGCAAATTTTTAAAACTTTCTTATGTTCATTTTTCAGGACAACTAAAATCACACATAATAGTAAGCTACTGTCAATAATAAACATTCTCCATAGTCTAGTAGGGAAAGAACTAAGGAAACTTGAATTGCTTTATTTGTGTCTCGATTCTTAGTGTTTAAATCACATGACTCATTTTGAAAAGCGTTTTAATTCATCTGCAAATTGGATCATTTAAAGCAATCTGATTTATCATAATGCAGTGGTAGCAGGGAGGATCAGGGACTGATGGGCCCAGCAAAAAAAAAAAAAAAAAAAAAAAAAAAAACACTCTCCAAGGACTGTGCAGACAGGGCCATTCACCTTCTGGTTCTCTTTTAGTCAGTGAGCCCATGGGTGTCGTGCCCCACAGAACTATATCTTATAGCACTCCTAGTCATGCCACCCTCAGGCTGATCATGATGTGCTCTTGATTACTGGTAGCCGAAACTAGAATGTTGTATGTCGTTAGATACCGAGGGAAGGTGTTGGTTTCACAGATACTTTTCTCATGATTACTTTATAGTTCAGAAGTAAGTTAAGTTTACCTGTGATAATCTAAATGGGTCACAGTGTGGTGGTATGACTGAAATTACTTGTTAAAGCTATTAGCTAAATGTGTTTTGTTTATCATTTACTTTGCCTAGTTATTAAATTCAGATAACATGGAATAAGATGTTTTTCTGAATGGCTACACAACATTGAAAGGAAGATGATGCAGTGTATTTTCTAAATTATCACAGATAATCAAACGTGGGGGATATTTGAGTTGTCTCATTACTGTGTGGGTTAGAGCTTTTGGCTTTAAAAGATGTCCAGCTGTTCCCTGCTTTGTATTTGAAAGTGACTGAGAAATTTTGGCTTATTATACTTATTATACTGTATTATCTTTATCATAGATTGTGTTGCTTTCATATTTAGTATTGTGCTCTTATAAATGAGTTTTTTTTCCAACTTTTACTCAATATCTTTCACAGTTTTATGCTTCTTACATCAAGGTATAGCTGGCCATTAATGTTTCATTTTGTCAAATGATTATTCTACATCTATTAAGGTAATCAAATGGGTTTTTGTCCTTCATTTTATAACATGGTGTGCCTCTTTTATTGATTTATGTTTTACTGAACCATCCTTGGAGCCCTGGAATAAATCCCACTTGATTATGATGAGTGATCTTTTTAATGTACTGTTAAATTTGCTTTGCTAGTATGTTGCTGAGAATTTTGCATCTGTATTCATTAGGGATATTAGCCTACAGTTTTGTTTTCTTGTAGGGTCATTATCTGGCTTTGGTGTCAGGACTGGTCTCACAAAATGAGTTTGGAAATATCCCCTCTTCTTTAATTTTTTGGGAGAACTTGATAAAGACTAATAATGGCTCTTCTTTACATGCTCAGTAGAATTCAGCAATGAAGCTACCAAAACTAATATACTTCACCTTCCTTAGTACCCTGAAACTGTAGATAGATATTCTAATAGTACAGATGTGAAAATTTGTTTTTGATTAGATAGATATGTAATATTGGCCATTTTTCCTCTGGAATTGGGAGGAAGTTATAGAATCCAGAGAACAACTATAAGAGAAAAACAGAGTAATTCAGGCATTGCTCCTTTGGTCCCTTTATGAAGAGAATGCGCAGACACTTGACTTGGGCTAAAGTACAACATAAAACAGTAACTGTTCAGTAAGAGAAGAGTAGAAGTATTGATCCACGTTTACATTTTTGTGAATAATCATTTACCCTCTTGTCCAGCTTGATTTCATTGGAACCTATACTGCCAAGCATTCTAATGAATATATCATCATTCCCAGTTGGCTCAATCACCAAAAGTCTAGAATAGCATGTTTTGGTTGATGTTCAGTGATTTTGGTAGCTTGAACAGCCCTATGGGAGTAACTTGATTCTAAGAAGAGGTATATCCAACCACAAAAACCATTGTGATTATTCACTGCATTCTCTGTTTAGGAACGAGAATACATATTGAACCCAAACAAATTATTACACCTATAGATGAACTTCCATAGTCAACATAGGAAGGACAGGTAATGCAGAATAGGCTCTTCACCTCACAAAGGGACACATGTTCACCATGTCTGCTCTTCATGTCAAACAGCAAAATGAGTTCATCGAGAAATCTCTTTTTCTGAATCTCTCATTAAAGATAGAGCTCTAAGGTATTCTGATTATCTGAAAGACAATTGAATGACACACTATTTCCTGAAAGACAAAAGTATTGAGAGTCAAAAGAAAGGTATATATTTCTATGCTAGGAAAACATATGAAAGATACACATTGCCCTAAAAAGACAATCATTGCCATTCTTGGAATTTTAACCTGCAGCCAACCAGCTATCACACATAAGAAAGTTCTTATGTGAGGAACAGTGACCCTCACTTTTTAAAAATAACACTCATTTCCAGAAGAGCTTCTGAACTCTATTAGCAACGAATTGGAACTGATCTCAAAGCTTGCTTTCTCTACCTTCTAAGCTCATCGAGGCTAATTGTTACTTTGTCTTCTAGTGTAAGGAAATCTGTAGGTTTAAAATCCAAAATATTTGAGCATGATAGATATCAATAAATTACAGGTATGGTTATTCTCTGTGCTGATGTCTGTCTGTAAAGGCAGAATAGGATAGGGCAGTTTTGAAACGTGGACCACTTTGTATGTGCCAATGGCAGGCCTTCCTATACACACACTTCGAGAAGAGCTGCACTTTTTTTACTTGTTTGCTTATATACCGACAAAATATATACTTGAAAGAGCATTTCATGGCTAAAGCAAAAGTGAGAAAACTATGGGGTTAGAAGATGGAGCAACATAAGAGTTGGAGAGTAGAATCTATGACATGTTAAAAAAAAAAACCTTATGAGATATAATATTGTCTGTGACACAGGGGGAGAAAGCCAGTGGTACAGATTAATTCAGAGCTCTTTCAAAATCTGTGGGTTCGTAAAATAGGAAGGTGCTTTAGTAATGTACCTAGAGAAGAGTGCAAGCTGAGATTGGCAGTTCTATAGATGTGCAACTGCAAACGAACTGAGATTAAACCTTAGGTAAGGTTTTGTTTTTTTCTGCTCACCCAAAATACAAGCTGAAAAAAATAGCTCAGCCCTTGAGCTGAGAAGTACAGATGAAATGGGAAGTGAGTGAAAAACACTTAATATGCTTGAAATTTAAATTTATTGTTTGCTATTCACCGAGATTCCACCAGGTGATAGTTTTCTAGGCATTAAGGATTCCAGAGAAACAAAATCCTTGCTCTCGTGGTACTCATGTTCTAAGGGAAGGAGATCGACAAGAAAGAAGCAAGTGCATAAGGAAGTAGGATAAATTTAGATTGTGTTAGAAATGAAATAAAATGCTTGCATGATAACTGATAACAGGAGTAGGAGTGGGTGGGTATCTGGCTGCTCTTTGTAATGCAAGCCGAGAAAGCAGGGGAGGCCATGTGGTAATTTAGGTGAAAAATTGTGGTGGACTCAGATGACAGCAAGTGAGATACAGAAATGCGAAAAGACCGAAGATAGCTTTTATAGGTGTCTCTCTCATTATAGGGAAATTGTGTACTTTAAACTACTGAGCCAGCATGTCTTAGGGGATGAATGCCTAGATTAACCTCACTGTTTAAAACAGAACAGTGATGACTTGATAAGACAAAACCCACAAGAGAAACTAGGGGCCTTGTCTGCTCCTTTCTGACTACCTGGTGGTCAATAACTCAGAAACTTTTACTCAGCCCAGGTATCTGTATTTAACAAAACATACAGGGCCATTTTAACTTGGGACCTAGGGAACATGACAAGAAAATTTTGGGGTATTGACCAAACCCAGTTTGTGAAAAGATCTAAATGCAGCTTCTAAAATCTGTGGGCTCATAAAACATGAAGACGTTTTGGTGATTTACCTAGAAAATAGTTTGTGCAATAAACCTTAGGAGTTCCTGTCTGACTCTCCAGGGTCTGTTTTGAAAGCCGCAAACAGTCTTCATGCTTGTCCAAGGTGCACACTTTCGAGTCTTGCATTCCTCCTGCCCTGTATCATGCTTGGGCTCAGGCTGTTTCTCATTTACAGTCTCCAGGAATGCTGTGTGACTTTATTTTTCTGGCCCTTCCGTGTGGAACAAGTCTTTTTATACTGGCAGCTGCATGTTGTTTGACATGCTGCTTAAGCTAGAAAAGTTCCTCAAGTCTTTTTGATAGGAAATATTTTTCCTGCGTGGTATCCCTGTGTGTTCCCTCAGAAAACTTCCTGTGCAGTACTTAAATATCCTCCAGGGTCAGGGGCAAAAAATAACACAGTTCCTTGACTTCTCAGTTACTTTCCTGCTGTACATAAGGAGGTTTCCTTCCGAGGAAGAGGAAGGAAGAAAAATGGTCAAAGCTGGGTGTCTAGAAATGAAATCCCTGATTCACAGGTGGCTGGTCCATTAAGGTACTCAGATATCATCCGACTGCAAAGCTTTCACCTTTTCTCTGTGTCTTGCTGTCTTTCATTAATGATGATATTAACGTTTGAAAGGTAATGGTCAAATGGCATTGCTCTCTTCTTCGATAGCTCTAACAAACATCAGATTTTGTCTAGGTAAGAGGATTCCAACTTCCAAAGACCTGAGTTATGAATAGCAGTGCCTGGTCCTGCAAAATGAAGGTAGTTCTAGTGAGTATAATACCCATGATACTGGTAGTCATAATTACTATCTCATTAATAGGATATGATTTAACACCTCATGAAACTGCTACTTTATGGATTAAACTCAAATGTTTCAACTCATCCCTTTGAAACTGCTTTATAAGTGGTAGAACTTACTTTTTTAAAACAGAAAGGTTTGCGCAGATGTTTTGCGGGGAGTTGGTTCTTTCACACACAAAGGATCACTGGTTTACTCTATCATGAAAGAAGCTGACTCACGATTTTCAGGACGACAGCTGTACCTGGCACTGTGCTAACAGTGAGCGCTCTCAGTCGCAGAAATAAAACTTAAATTTCAGTTTTGAAAGTATGCTGGCCAATGTACTATTTAAATGTTAAAATATGTGTCACTGCCTTTTGCCCCAAATAGTGGCAATTAGATTCCTTTAGCATTTTACAAATGTGATAGTGTCTAAAGAAAAAAAAAATTGAAACCTTAAAGTAGAATCACGTAAAGTGGATTTAGCTGCAATGGTAAACTTGGATTTTGACAACTATCTGATACATTCAGAAGCTGTATTCACCACAGGGTGGTTACCAGGTTAGAATGCATTACAGGAAATAATGTATTCCATGCAACTATATGGACTATTCAGGACATCAGCAGCTAATACAATCATATGCTACCAGTTCCCCAAGAAATATTAGCACTGATGCAAGACCAGGCTAGAAGCATCATCCGAAGTTCTTGGGCTTGTCTTATGCCAAAGTTCTGTAGCTTTTAAGGCAACTATAAGGACAGAGATGTTGAAATAAAACCAGATTGCGGAGTCAACGAAGCACCATGGGAGGATTCTTGTTATTATTTTGCCTCATTAACAATAAAGCACATCTCATATAGTAAAGAAAAATCTCAGTAGATGGATATTGGATTTGCGGAGTCAACGAAGCACCATGGGAGGATTCTTGTTATTATTTTCTTGCCTCATTAACAATAAAGCACATCTCATATAGTAAAGAAAAATCTCAGTAGATGGATATTGGAAAATTCAAATTACCATCTCCTTCATAGTCAGCAGTAATTCCCTGCTGAAGGCAGATAGATTTATATGCTTTGAAATATACTTAATTCAAAATGCTGCATGTTAATACTTTGGAATAGTTGATCTCAGGAGATATGAACTCAGATGTACTTGTTTACTTCAAAGTAAAACAAAAATTCTGATTACCTTCTTATAGCAAAAAGGTGGTTGGTAAGAATATATATTTATAATTATCTTTATTACTGTTACTTTAATGATTAGGTTTTTAATACAGATTCAGAGCTGAAAAGGTTTATCCTTTTGAGTAGCAGATCCATGAATAGAGATATACCGAGTCCTAGCATTACAGGTGTTCATGAAAAGAGAGAGCTTCTCTTCAGGGAACATCTGACAGCATTTAATAAAGGTCACAGAGTGGCAGTATGTAAACCTCTACACTTCCAAATTGGCAGTTGAAACATTTTGCTTAGGTTCTTGCTTGATAACATATTTCTTTTCTTTATCAGTTTAGGTTTGGTAACAAGCCTCTGTAAATTGAGATGTGTAATGCACTCAATGATAAATAAAAAGCTGCCCCTATGCTTAGGGTTATCAAATACCCTCGTACCAATCTTAAAAGTGCATATTTCCAAGTTGTGTGATGTGACCTGTTTTTCTTGATCATAGTTGCTTGCTTTATCAGTAGTACAGCTGGTGCCAGAACCTTAAATTTTGGATAAATTTAAATGAGATGAGATTATTATTTTAATTGGTGATGAATAATAATAGATACAAGCAGCAGTGGCTGAGACACAACAACAGTGAGATGGGATTTGCTGGTTTAATGTCACTGAACTTAAGTAAGACATTTGTTTATTCTGTAAAAGGTTGGTAATAGAACTAGTTTATTATTTACTTATTTATTTATTTGATACCAGGGATCGAACTCAGGTCCTTGCACTTGCAAGGCAGGCGCTGGAACCACTGAGCTAAATCCCCGGCCTTATAGTTTATTTTCATGCACTAAAATGCATATAAAGTTGAAATATCAAGAAATTGAGTTCTCTGAAGCACTCTAAAATCTAACCCTATCATGGAGTACAATTTGGCAATAAGGAGAGTGTCAAGGGATTAACTGAAACCCATAGGAATGTGCCAAAGCAGCTTCCAGCGCAACCTCCTAAAAAATTACTGCTTAATCTGAAGAGACACTTATGAAGATACCCTAATCATATTACACGAATTTGTGGCTATCTCTCCATAACTAGTTGAAAAAATAATTATATAGGAGCACAAAGAACCTAGAAAACAGACTCGGTGAAGGAATATATTATTATTTAAGGAAAAAAATTATAACTACTTATCAAGTGTTTTGCAAATGCATTTTAATAAAAGAAAATAACTTGCTTGCAAATTAAAAATTACATGATCTCTGTAACCAAATGGTCATAAATTACTTAGTACTTTCAAAGTGCTACTTTGCTGCTCTGCTTTATGCTCTAATTAAAATATGTATTGACCCTCTGAGAATCTGTGCAGGCCACTTCTTTCAGTACGTAGGAAAAGATTTCTATTTGAATGTGCTTTCTTTGCTACCAGAAATTAATATTGAGTTGAAAAAATATTTTAACTTAAAGTACCATCATGAATATTTAGAAGGTTCTCCAAAACAATCTATTATTTATTTCTTGCAGGCTTGTAATGCATATGTGGATTTTATGATTTCTGTGGCCAAATTGATTCGTCAAGAAGAAGGATTGCCTATTGATGAAAATCAACTCTCTTTGGAAATGAAGAAAGTTATGGAATTGGAAAAAGAAATTGCCAATGTAAAACACATTTTTTTTCTGATATACTGAATAATGACAACTGCTTTTTTTCTTTGCACCTCTATTATATTTTAAGGGTACAAGGGTAACTCTAACCAAGTGATAAAAATGTATAGCATGGTAATGCATCACTGACTTCCAAAAAATCTTTGAAACCATAGCATTTTATAGTAAATGAGACTCCACCATCCAAGAGACACTAAATTTGACAAATATTAAACTGGATATACTTAATTGCCTATTACAAGTAGTTTACATCACAACTTTTACCATCTACTGTCAAACTCTTGATAGATAGCCTTGAGACTCATGACACAAAGCTGTTATAGTTTTTCTGAACAAGTTTATTTTAAAATTTAAAGTGATCACAGTGATTATCTCTATCCCTGAGCTGAGCAGAATTACCCCCCTGAACAAGACCAAAGGGCATTGTGATACCACTGATTGCAGACAGTCAACTGCTGAGCGCAGGGAGGACCAGATGCAAAGAACTTCGCAAGAAAGCCAAGGATATGTTTTTGCATCTCTGCTGGTCCCACACAAACATTTGGAATCTCTCACTCTTCTTTGATGGGAATGTGCACTCCCTAGCAAGCAAATTCTAAGTGAAATCCAGGTTACCAGTAGAACTCATGACAAGACTCAATCCAGGACCCACAGAGTTCACTGAAATTGCAAACAGCAACAGCGACCCCCAGATGCTCATCTGCCCACTGATACTGGCGAACTTCATCAGAGTCTTGAAGAGTGAAGATCTTGAAGGGCAATTCTAGTTTTCCTGGGGCCACGGGAAACCAAATATCCTTAATCATAGCCAGACTGCTTAGAGCTGCAGCTGTACCAATAGCAGTTTGATGGTTTGCACTTGGCTCTGTGTTGGGACCAGAATTGCTAAAGAACAGTTCCCTGCTTGGATTTCACCACTCCTATTTTCCCAGGCTGTGTCCCACTTTGACTAGCATTGGGCCTGTAGTGGTAGCTTCATTTTACCTCAGAAATATCTGACTATAATTTTTCACCTATCTTAGATTTTGACATTGGCATGAGGTTTTAGTTATCTCTGCATCATCTGTGTATCTCTAACAGGGTCCACCATTTTACTACATGCAGGAAATGTTCTCTAGTAATTGTTTTGTTTTCAATAAGTAAACAGATACATTACCTAAAGGTGATAGTAAACATTGGCACTAAGTAATAATACCCATTTTTAAACTTTAACCCTTTATTTCTTCTCACTTGAATTTGCTTTTACTCATTGAAACCACAAGATAGAAATTTGATATTTCTTTGCTTTTTCACATTCAGTGTAAATCACAAAATTGGATTTTGTTGAATACAAAACATAAAACTAGCAAGGAAGAATGGAAGGACAGTCACGAAAGTAGAAAGCATTCTTCTCAGTTAACCTGCAGCCTGATTGTTCTGTATCTGTATTCTAGGAATTTGCCATATATTGTTGTAGAAACTATTACAACTGAATTTTAACTAGTACATTGAATGATAGGTGGGTATAGGAGAGAGAATATTTGAGAGACGAGACAGAGGTGACTATATCTAAAGAAGTTATAATATGAAATAGCTACAGATATTACTGAGCTGCCCATCAGCTACAGCCCACAATATTGCTTATGTGGCTTGGCAGATATCAAAGTATGAAATGAATCTGTGTGTGTGTGTCTGTGTGTGTCTGTGTGTGTGTGTCTGTCTGTCTCTGTGGTACTGGGAATTGAACCTAGGCCTTTTGCACTAAGCTACATCACCAGGCCTTTTTAGTTTTTATGTTGAGACTGGATCTTGCTAAGTTCCTAAATTGCACAGACTGGGCTCAAACTCTCAATCTCCCTGCCTTGTCCTCCCAGAGTGCTGGGTTTAGAGACATGTACCATCATGCCCAATTTGAAAAGATTTTTGAACAATTTTAAATTTTGGGGATTTAGCTCAGTGGTTCGGTGGCCTGCCTCGCAGGCGCAAGGACCCGAGTTCGATCTCCGGTACCAAAAAACAAAAAAGTCCAGGGGGAGTTATTTGAAGGAAATTATGGGCAATGTGTCTTTTACTGTAATAATTTTTAAATTTAAACCTTTGCCATATTTTTTATTATACTGCATACATAAAAATCTCTTAAACTTCACTTCTTTTGGTGTGCTAAAATAAATTACAAAACAAATATAGAATAGAACCTGTCAGATTTTTTACACATGTCCTATATTTCTTTTAACTCACATAAACTTATATTTTTCTTAGTTTCAAATTAATGATCAAAAATTATACCCATAGGCTACAACCAAATCTGAAGATCGAAATGACCCAATGCTTCTTTACAACAAAATGACTTTGGCTCAGCTCCAAAAGAATTTTTCACTGGAGATAAGTGGAAAGGTAAGTAGAAAGTTTTATGTCGCTTCTTACTCTGCCATTTCCTAAAACTGTGACATTGAAATGCTGTTTTTAAAAGTCATTATATATTTACTGAAATAAATTGAATTCCGAAATAAATTTAAATGATATCAGACATTGGTGGGGGGCTACTTAAAAACGTGTATATTTATCTAGAATGATCGGTAATATTCTTTTCATGGCAGATGTAAAATAATGTCAGAACTTGCTGTAGAAAAGGGCTTGGAACAAATGAAAACTTTTTTGAGCCCATTGTGTAGTCATTTGACCTGGGCTGTCAAATACTAAAACACTAAATTTCCTTTTAACTCCTAAAACAGGGTAATTTATTCATAGAACTTTCCATATTCTCATCAAGGATGTCTACAGAGTTCAGAACAATAGCAGAAAACTGGAATACAAAAATAAGAAGAAACTGTTTCATAGATCCTATTTAAAGACTGAAATTGACTTCTTTTTGCTTAGCTAGTCCCTGCTAATCTCTTCTAGGTCTCTGAATTTATTTTTGTATGTTAGTTAATACACAGAGTTGGGAGAAGAAGTAGTATTCATAGAAAATGTATGAACTGTCAAAGTCAGTGATAGAATTCTGCTTGGCACTAATTGTGGGAAACACGAACTTTTCTAAAAGTTGTAATGTACTGAATTAGACATTTCTTACTTTGAACTTTCTAATATACCATGTGTTCAATAAATGTGTTTTGAAAGGCTGGCCCAAACCATCAAAAGAAGTCAAGGATATAGCATTGCATCTTCTACTTAGTCAATGACCTCTCTGTGTGTAACTAGACAGTTGAATTTAAGATATTGATCATTTTAAATACTCTTCATTCTAATTTAAGGTGTATTAGACAAGATTCTGTCTTTTCTAAACTGTAAACCTAGCTTCTGAAGTAAAAAACCTGGATGCTGACAGGCCAATAGAACTATTTCAAATTTATTCTTTTGTTTGTTTTGTAACACTGTGCCTTTGCTGTGACACTATGCTTACATTTGTGGCGGGAGACCCATTGAGGTGTATTGCTGTGCTTGAACTGTTTATTAATGCCTACTTGTAAAAGTCAAACACTTGATAGGCATTTTCATTTTTTGCATAAACAAAATAAACTTTATTTATTTTTAATTAATTTTACTGGTACATGTAGTGTATACAATATAATGACATTCATTGTTGGAAATTTGTACATTTACATAATCAGTCTCGGTTCTTATTTTTTCCCTATTTCCCTGCTCTACTTTGAACCACCCCCCCTCCAACTCCTCCCTCCTTCCGTATCTAAGACTTTATTTATCTAAAAGACTTTATTTTTAAAGCTAAGTTCATTTTTATTCTGTTTAAAGTATTTAGAATAAGAATGTATTGAGCCTAATTTCTAATTTGTATGTCTCAAAGTTTAAAGGTTTCGTTTTTGCTCTGGGGTGGTTGGTATAATTCTGCTGTCTAGATAACATATTGCAAGAACTAATTTTTCTTCAAAGCCTGATTGAAAAACTTGAAGAAAAAAATCCCAAACAAATAAACAACTGACCATCGGGATGATTGTTTGTAATGCAGCTGACACCCTTCAATGTCTCACCTTCTCATGATAATGCAATCGAAGAATTACGAAAAGAAATCCATAATTGCTTAATGCTTTATGCCTGCTTTTTTTCCAGCCATTCAGTTGGTCCAATTTCACAAATGAAATCATGTCAACTGTGAATATTAATATTCCAAACGAGGAAGAGGTGGTTGTGTATGCTCCAGAATATTTAATCAAACTTAAACCCATTCTTACCAAATATTCTGCCAGGTAGGTATGCCAGAGTGCCCATGTCCTTAAAGTTTACATTTCATATCACTCTTTAGAAGCTTTGCAGCCTCATTTTTTCTGTTGCTGGGTGGTGGGTTTTTTTATACAGAGATCTTCAAAATTTAATGTCCTGGAGGTTCATAATGGATCTTGTAAGCAGCCTCAGCCGAACCTACAAGGAGTCCAGAAATGCTTTCCGCAAGGTGAAGAAAAAATCTCTCTTTTCTTAAGACTTAAAGCATAAAGAGATGCATGGTTACCAAAGTTTGCCATGCATTCTGCTAGAATGTGGTGAACTTTGCAAAAAATACAATGCCAAATTTGTTTATTTTGCACATATTTAGGGTATATATTACCTAGCAAGGAGGTCAGTTATCATGGCTTTGCCATCCAAAGATGATTACCTGTGATATCAGGATCGCAAAGCCCTGTAACGAGTAACCATTGGTTAAATGAACATTTTATGAAAGAACGCTGCACTGATTTATTATTGTTGTCGTTGTTATCATTGTGTTTGAAGCCATTGCAGGGTTGTCTTTCTCAATTAACCTGATTTTCAGATGCTCATAGCACACTGGACACACAAACAGATGGACTGCATTGATGTGGACAATCCATGTAGAGAGCATAAACTCCAAGCCTTTACTTAGGCTGTTCTTGTGTTATTGAAGTAGTCAGCGTTTTAGTCTTATGATAAGGGGAGTGGGCAGTAGGGATTGAGGAAGGAGAAAGCCTAACAAACTTACTGATTGGTGTCCTGAAAAGAAAATAACTGTGAGGGTTGATAATTCCCACTTTTAATCCTTAAACATAATATGTAGACACATTTTTAGGTAAAAATATAAAATGTTACCGTGTTAAATTTCCCTTACCAAGTTAATTCCCTTGTTTACACTTAAATTTATGCAATTTAGTTTTTGTAGAGTATCTGAAGTTCAGTTAAAACATTAAAAAGCAGATATGTGTTTTCTTGTGTGCAAGATATCCCCCTGTTACATTTATTGAACATTACTTCACATTTATATTTATGCAGTGGGTACAGTGTTGTATTTTTTTCTAAAGCTTTCTAGAAAGATATTAACTTGTAATAGCCAAAACCTATCCTGGGACATGCCTTTGAAAATAGACCTTATTTTCAGATCATTTTTAAGTATCGGGTTGCATTTTATCGTTAAGCTAGGGGCACCTGCTTTGAGAGAAGAAGTGATGAGTAGTACAAGGATTTGAATGAGACATAAAGGATAGACGCGTGTGAAATTTGTACTCCTGCCCTCTACTCCTGGCCTTTTTCTTTTTTCTCTTTTATAGGCCCTTTATGGCACAACATCAGAAACAGCAACTTGGAGACGTTGTGCAAACTATGTGAATGGCAATATGGAAAACGCTGTGGGAAGGCTGTACGTGGAAGCAGCATTTGCTGGAGAGAGTAAACATGTGGTAAAGTTTTCAACATGATACGTTATTAACTCTGCAATGCTCTCTTACTTTGTTTCCGCTGATGGGCAATTGTAATTGTCCATAATTTGGCTGAAGTTTTTAATAATCAGGTAGAGGACCGCCAAATAATAACGTGTAATTGTTTACTAACAAATCTCAAGCTTGCTCTATCCCTCAAGAGTTTAATTACAGTCTCGGTTTCTCATGTGGTTTAATTTAAAAGTGACGATCCATTCTCCAGATGCAGCAGTGTATTTAGAGTACCCAGTCACACGTCCAACTGAACAGTCATTTATAAACCCTCCTAATATCCAGATTAGTCAAAAGTTAATGTTACCTTAAATACCTAGAAAGTCAGTCAGGGTTTGAAGTGTAAGAAGTGTACTCCATTTTTCACTGTTTCTAAAACAAAGACAGTAGAATTTAATGACATGGTGAAGAATTTATTGAAATGCTCCTTTATGCTTAACTAAACCACTAATGTTAGTGAAAGTTTAATACTATGTTAGTTCTTATAATGACTGTGGGGACCACAACATTCTGAAATTTTTAAAATTAAAATGTATATATTTAAGGCCTATTTAATTAGAAACATTGATAGCAGCAATGTTGCTTTAAAATATAAGGATCCCTTATGTTCATTGTCTGCATCTCAGTTGTCTGTAAGTATTTGTTAGCATATTACATCATATAAATGTAGCATGTAGCTTTGCTTTTTAAAATCTGTTACAATGACTTAAGGGAGAGCCTAATTTGGCTTCTGTACTTTGGATTTGAGGTTGAGGATTTGATTGCGCAGATTCGGGAAGTTTTTATTCAAACTTTAGATGAGCTCACCTGGATGGATGCCGAAACAAAAAAGAAAGCTGAAGAAAAGGTAAAGAACCACACAGATGTATCAAAGTAGGGTTTTCTCATAAGAAAAGTTTAACTTTAAAACCATTTAGGAAAAATGTACTCTTAGCTTGTGTATAAAAATTTCCAGTTCCTTCAAGCTATAATGTTTCCAGGAACAATATCATGGGTAAAGACATTTTCTATTGATTTTCATCTTTTTTCTCTGCAATAAGCACCATTTATATTTAATTTAAAGCTTTTAAAGTACTACCCTTTTTCCTTTCTTTAAAGGAAGACTTTAGAAAATGAGAGAAATCCTATGTGAATTAATAAAGAACTAATATATGAGTGGTTCATACAGTTTATTCTTCTACAAAACATAACCTAAAAGATCACTACCAGTGGTTCAAAATCATGTCCCCTTAATTTGTAATGTAAAAGTTCACTTAACCTTTTAAACCATGCCCTATTTAGGTTGGGGTTTTTTTTTTTTTCACTTTTTTTTTTCTCTCATTGAACTTATTGGTACATTTTAGGTATACAGCATAGTTACATTCATCATTGGGATCTTGTATCTTTACATGACAGGTCTTGGTTCTCATTTTTTTCCCCTTATTGCTGCTTTTACTTCTTTGTCTGGGAAATGTCTGTTCATTTCAGATGCCCATTTTTTAATAGGGTCTTTATATTTCGTCATCATTTGTGTGTTATAAGATCTGTGGTTAAAGGGATACTTTTTATAATTATTTGCATCAACATTTAATGAGAAGCTTTTGTTGAAAGTTTTAAAATCATGTAGAAATAAAACTAAGATTTCTAAATAAAACTAAGGAAATATTAGGCTTCCAGTGACTGTGACCCTGTGTCTTTTACATTATGTAAAAATCTGTGAACCTGCTTTTGAGCACAGCCACTCAGATCGTTCCCCTGTAGTTAGGGTAGAAGAAAGAACAGATCATTCTTTGGACTAATATGGGAGTCCGTAATAAACCTATTACAATCAGTTTCTGGTCCAGTGCTTCTTCAGCATTAAATGAAATGGAAATGCTGTCCTTTTTTTCAGCTCTCAAGAAAGCCTCAAGGTGGGTGGGTTAGAATTTAGTCACAGATCCAGCAGTCTTTCCGTCATTCTTGCCAATTCCTCAGACACTCAGGTTGCATTTCTTCTTTAGTGTCTTAGCTGTCTGTGACACAGCTGTGTTTGATCTGGACAACTGGATTTTTCTAGCTCTGCATTTCCAAAGTGTGTCATAAAACACTGGACCTGCGCATTTCCACGGAGGAGTTCCATAGTCAAAAGAGTTTAGAAAACACTTTTTATAGAAAGCTTGTCTGATCCCACCCTGGGCTACGTAATGTGCTTCTAGGGGTGGTCATATGGCACCAGACCTAAAATATGTTTATATTGATGCCACTGTCCACCATGGCTCTTTTCAGCAAGCTTTGTGGCGGAAGAAAATTTTGCCTGGCTTTGTGTCCTCAGTCCTTAAAAGAGTACCTGCCTCTTACAGGATACTTGGACATATGTTGAATGAATATATTCAGAAATTCATTCCTTTTCTTGGACACTTACACAAAGCTTAGATTCTAACCTTAGAATCTTAAACATTTTCAAATTTAAAGAAGTCTGGAAATAAGGAAAGGTGCTTTTTTCCTATAGCATTTACCCAGAGTATTTGACGACAACCTTTTTATTTAGTACCTTTTATTTTCTGTAGAATTTGTGTCTCTGAGAACCCTCTAAGGGAAAATGTCTTCTAGGAAATAAAGGAAAAGTGGGAAAATAATCCTTGTGAGAAAGGGGTGAGAATAGAAGAAAGTATGGAAATTTATAAGAAATTAGGCTTGGCCTAAATGACATATTTACTGCCTGATCTTTGGAGAAGCCCTGGGCTTATACAACAGATTTGTAACAAAACCATAGCCACTTGATGACAAACCAGATAACTCAGAGATAAAAGCTTCATTCTCGGTGAAAATCTTCAATTAATTAGATCACTTAAGAGCAATAGGATACAATAAATCAAAAGTGAAGCATGTTACAAAAATAAGAGAGAAATGAAAAAAATGGAACTAGCAAGTAATAAGCAAGTAACAATAATGAAATGATAATAATAAGTAAAATCATTTTAAAATAATAAAAATAAAATTTATAAATAGTAATGGAAAGGGGTAAATATGAGCCAGGGTAAAAAGGAAAACTCTGTTTTCTACATCTTTGAAATGTCATTCATCTACCTTGTAGCTAGGTACACTGATTTTGGAGAGAAAACATAGAAACTCCAGAAACTCCAGGAACTGATATTCAGAAAGAGTTGGAGCACTAAACCTGTGAAAGCCCTTATGTGTTTCCTCCACCAAATCAATGAAGTGGAAAGATAATTATATCTCGCAAGGATGGAAGCTCTAAATATTGCCTCCTCTATAAAATTAAAGAGAAAAATCCTTCAGGGAAAAAAGTTCATAAAAATACAGTATATGTGAAACAATGACTTTTGTCAGTTTCCATTTTGGTTTTCTTGAGAAAGCTGCAGCTTGTAGGAGGACAGCATACCTGTTTCGTTTTTTAATCCAAGGAAAAGTTCATTGCAAAGAACTCTGGTTGAGTGTTGTCAGATATTCCTTTTGTACACAGTGTAAAGTGTGTTATTCAGTTGCCTTTCTGGGGAAAATTATAATGTTTGTGTTTGAAACTTCTATAATTATCTTCACCTTCAATATTATAATTTTCACAGGCCTTAGCAATTAAAGAAAGGATAGGCTATCCTGATGACATTGTTTCAAATGATAACAAACTGAATAATGAATACCTTGAGGTAAGTTTCTACAAAAGCTCTAGCTAATGATACCTGGGACTGGTGACAATGTTATTTCTAGCTGCGGGATACCCCAAATTGCACAAACTAGCCTAAAACTGCAGGTCTTATTATATAAAACCTTAACACAGATGCTAAAGCTACAATTTTTATTTAGCCTTGCGTTTCATTAGACTGGACTGTGTTTCATTACACTGGTTTTATTACTTCGGTTTCCATGCATTCCATTTGAAGAATAGTAAGGAGACCCAGGTGTCCTTCAAAGTACATGGGGGAGTAGGCGATGTCGTGGTAATGAACAGCAGGCAGCACCAGGGCTCCTTGTCACCTCTTTATACAGCTCTGAAATTCCAAGAATCCAGTTTTCTCCCACTTTCCAGTTACTCCTCCCATTAGATAAACCAGGTCATACCTCCTATATTTAAAAAACAAAAGTAAATCTGATATTAGAGAACCAGAAACTTTTATTCTCCCCTGATAATGTAATTATTAAAAGAGAAGAGAGTGGGTCAAAGTCACTATAGCGCTGATTTCAGACCCAGCTAAAATTCCTACTGCTAATTTTGTGGCTACCACCAGTACTTGATAGCCTGATGAGAACGACACGATCCTTGCCCAAATCCAGGGATGACGGTGGTTCATAATCCATTGTTTATTAGGCTAACATGGAGGTTTCCAAGTTGAAGTGCTCTATCTTCTCTTTCTGCAGGCAGAAAAACTTAATTTTCCTTTGGCATGAGCTGTCTATACCTTACAAGTCCCGAGGGTCTCTTATGATAAGGGTGCAGTGGCTGTAAGAGCATAGACTCAAAGCCAAATTTCAGTCTCACCACTCAGACAAACTTGGGCAAGCCAAGCAACTGAACTTTCTTCAACTTTAAAATAGATTGCAGTCCTTCATTCATAGGATTGTAGTAAGGATTACACACGAGTATATTTAAAATGCTGAGAACAGTGCTAGGCCTGCATGTGGGCTTAAACAGGAATGTGCTGTTACGCTCATCTGTTATGTGAGGATTAATGCAATATCGTGAGAGCCTGGCTTGACATTTGGTTTCATTTGGTTGATTAAAAAAACAGACTGAAGCTGTAATTCAGCTAGAATAGTACTATCCTATAATACAGAATGGGGCTAATTACAACTAAGTCCTTCTTTGGCATGTTTTAAATACTGTCTCTTAACCTTATTAACTGATAAAACTTAAGAAGATGGGTTGTTTGGCAAACATTTTGAAGATGCGGGCTTTAATATTTTTTTCCCAAAATCTTGTATGTAATACAGCTGAACTACAAAGAAGATGAATACTTTGAGAATATAATTCAAAATTTGAAATTCAGCCAAAGTAAGCAACTAAAGAAGCTCCGAGAAAAGGTGGACAAGAATGAGTATGTACCTTCCATTTTCTGGTGTGTTCTTTCATAAGAGGGCTCCCAGAAAAATGTCAAAAAGTGCAGTGTCCTCTTTTGACTAAGAACCTTTAAAAGCATCTAATTATATTACACTGAAAACATGGGTCTGGAAATTAAAGAAATTTAATTGCTGTTCACTAAGGTGCTCTTCAACACGCCAGTATCTTTAGTTCCTTCTTACTTCATTGTGCTCTCCAACTCGTTCATGGACAATGTTCTTAGAAACACCTTATCTCAAGTAACCCACAGCTTTTTCAAGCCTACTTTCTGCCTTCCCTTTTGTCCAGGATTCCCTTCGGCTGAAGCTCCACCTTTTTCTATTAGTTAAGCATCCCATAACTCCATCCACTTTCTAAACAGGTTCACGTAACACTCTTCTTAATGCTACCCTTGCCAAATAGGAGATACCGGGAATTACTCTCACAAGTGGTCTTTCAATGCTCTTAATCTTTGCTTATGAGTGACATCTGTACTTCTCATTAACTATTAAGTATTATTTGTGCATTATATGGATGCATCTAACGCATTTCTCAGCATGTATGGTGCTCACTTAAATCTATAGATCTGCTGATGTTGCCCTTTCTCTCCTATTCTTCTGGGCCCTGGACAACAGGTGGTGTTCCTTTTGTGTTAAATTCTCAGTGCCCAACACAGAGAAAGTTCTCAGTTAAAACTGAATTAACAAATGAATGAACAAGTGAAAACCAGATATACTAACTTGATTTTGGCGTTAACACATAAATTGCAAAAGATGCTGGAATTGTTTTACGCACTCGCTTATTCTTTCATGTATCCATTGGTTTTTTCACTCATTCATTTATTTAATTTCTATTCTGGAAGACTAAGTCCAGATTTTATTAATCCCTGGGAAAAGCAGAAGTGAACAACAGCCGCAGGTAGACAAGACATGATGTAGTAAACTGTACAACAGGGAGGAAAATGTGTCAAGAAAGGTATAAACTACTATGTGCAGTGGGATTGCTTGATTATAAGACTGTTCTGTTCTAATAAATGAGATACAGGTTACACAAAATTGCTAATGTAATTGTCAGTACTTTGCAGTCCTTACTCAACTTCAGGAACTTCTGCAGCACTGAGGTGTCCTGAAACACAGACTGGACTTTCTGGCTTCTGGATCTATATTTGAATAAATGTATTATCTAGGACAGCAAATAGCAATGCATGTTTAGTGTCTGGGAAAGAGCACATATATGATTGGTGGTATGATCAAATTATACTGGGTAAATTTATCACCTGAGATATTTCTTACAAGTATATACATATATGTATACACACACACATATTAATAATTGCTAGGCCTGTAAAATGTCTACAGACAGATTATGGCTAATTTTTCTGAAATGACTAAAATGACTGCTTGTTTTTATTTGTTTTTGGGGGGATTTTTTTCTGATTAAAATTTTGTTGAGATTGCAGTTTCCATGCAGTTGTAAGAAATAACTGACAACCCTTCTATACCATTGCTTTTTCCCCAGGGGTAACATCTTTCAAAACTATAATACAGTATTACAGACTGGATAATGTAAGATATAGAATTTTTTTTTAAATTTTAAAGGTAGCCATTGAGCTATTGCTTGATGTTCTCTTCTTGAAGTTAATACAGTCTCAGTTTTATAATCATATTGTAGTCTACTTTACATTGTTCATTCCTTGTCCTTATATGTGTTGATTTTTTTTTTTAATGAGTCTTCTCTTTAGGATAGTCAAAAGCCAAAATGTGTACATTTCAATGAAGGTTTGGTCAATGGCATGAATACCTTAGCAGTACATTTTGGGTCCTTTCCATGACCTTCTGAAAGGCACAAGTATATTACAACTTCTTAGGTCTTTCTGTAGTACAGTGCTAACTTTTTGTCTTTCCTCACACCCAGAACACTGAATGCAAAGGTTATAATAGCTGGCTTCTTTTTGGAATTACTTGGGCAACAGAAAAAAAATGAAGTCCTCAGCTCATACACCCTAGATTGTGATGTACTTGCTCTGTGACTGGAATCCACATACAAGACTTCTTTATAAGTACATACCATTCTCCGAGTGGGAATCCCAGAATTTGTTAGTTCCTTTTTATATAATTTGGTTCAAATTTAATTTTATGGAAGTCTGCACAAGATAATGCCTTTCGCTAAAGTAGTCAGAAACACTTTGACAGTAATTGTATCAAATAGATAGGCCTGAGCCGATAAGATATAGAATAATACAATACTCTTATTTTATTGTAGTTTCTTTAGATGAATGTTTCTGACTTATTTTCCACTTGCAAGTTTCTATGTTGTTTGTTTTTCCTTTCTTTACATAGCATCAGGTTTAAGCTCTCCCTCTGTAGAGTCAAACAAACAATACCTACTGCTTTTAATATGTTCACATAGCCTGCAGTTACACCTCAAAGAATCAGATTTTTTCTGTAATCCCAAGGTCTTGTTGGAAAAATACATGTCCCATACCTAAAACTGAAGGGACAGAGTTGAGACTATTGACTCCTATAGGGTTATATTGTAGGTTACTTCAGAGAAATTATAAATTTTTGAGGCACCAATTCAGTTAGCCAAATAGTTTCTAGACGTTTTCTTTCCCCACTATATATACTCTCACTGGACAACCTCATAGCTTCTTGACTCCTCCTACCATTGTTATCCGAACTAAGTATTTATATCTGCTGAGTTCTGGAACGAAATGTCTAGCTGAGTTTAAGGTACTACATGTCTCAGCGATCCTACACAGTATTAGTCACTTAAGCAAAAGTCAACGATACTTTCTCCCTATGCCTGCCTGTTTCCTAAATCCTCATCTTATTACTGCCAACAACACAAAAACCAGGTAATCATTTTAATTACCTACACTGATCACTTTCATCTACATTAATAAACAACTCAAAGCTCCATCCACAGCAAAGGTCTACATCTACTAGCTGCTAGTTAAACAGTTCATAGCAGTGGAAGAAAGCATCTCCATCCTAACCCTTTGTTCAAACATTTCTTGTTGATCACCAGAGTTACTCCCACATCTTCAGTTTATCTTCACACCACTGTCCCAGAAGTATTTACAAAAGCATAGATTGGGTCATGTTATTTCCTGATCAGAACTTCTCAATGGATGCCTGGGGCCTAGCTCATGAAGAGCAAACCTTTCAAAAAGAAGTCCCAGGCTCTAAACCTCCCACTAGCTCTCCAGCATTCCTTCAGATGAACCCTGCCTGCCACCTTTGTCCAAAGCTCCAGCCGTCTGGATTACCTCTAGATCATCCCTCTGTCCCTCCTTTCTCCCCTTATTCAAGTAACAGAAAACTCCACATTCTCCCTCAATTTACATTTAAATTTACCTCTTTACTCGTAGACCCCTTATGTGTCTCTTCACCTGTACCTGAATTACACCTCACACATTAGTCAAAACACCAGTGGTTTTTATTAGTGAACAAGCCCTTGTTGAAAGAAGGATCTATGTATTTCTGTCACTAGAAGTTGAGCACTGATGAGCAGGATCTGGATCCATCATAAATGTTCATGGGGTAAAAAATAGTACGTTCGTAAAAAGGCTGGTAGTTAACTCAGTTGCAGCGGTAAAGGTGGTTACATTTAAGTATTTTCCCATCATGGTCGGTAGAGATATACAACATCATCCTTGCTGCTTTCTTTTAAGCAAATTTAAAAATTGAAGAAATCAGGAAATCTGCATGTCATCCAACTTCATTATTTGGCTAAAAGAGTCTGCTTTCCTCTTATGTTGTGAGCAGCTGGTACCAAGGACAGAGATTTAAATTTTAAAAGTTTATCTGTTTTCTGAGTTCCTCGCTTCTTTTTTAGAGTTATCTCAAGTATTATGTCTTCTAGGGATTTGCCAGTTCGTAAAGAATTTCAAACATGTCATGCTGTCAGATAAAAATAGTGCTATTTTAGGAATATAATAAAATTCACTGCCAAAATTACTTAGTGATATATCTAAAATTATTTACTGGGTATTTAGCTCAGTGGTTCTGCCGCCTGCCTCTTAAGCACCCGAGTTCGATCCCCGTACCAAAAAAAAAAAAAAAAAAATTACTTATAGTAACGTGATTATTCTCAGAGTTTATGGAGCAAATATTAACCTCAATAAAAAAAAAATATGTTCAAGAACAAAACAAAAGGAATACTTTTTGTTGTTTTTGGACCTGGTTTTGTGTTAGTTTCTCAGGACAGACCTTCCTGTGATAAAATGGTGACTGATAGTGCCAGCATTTGTGAATCTTAACTGTTGAGGCTGGAGTACTTTTTCTGAACTACAAAAACTTTTTTTCGTTGCTGCACATTTCCTACTGTTATGCATCCAAATAAAAACACATTGCTGCAGATGAAATACAATTCAGTAAATATTTGTTGAGTGGCTACTATGTGCAAAGCCTTGTGTTAAACACAGAAGAGTTAAAAAAAAAAAGGTGATTAGGATGATGCCACTCACTTAGGCACCTACGATCTAGTGAAAGAGGCAGGAGACTAAAATTTAAATCCAAGGAGCCAAAAGAACACAGGTTTGTTGAGTGTCATTAGAAGGAAACAAAGTGATAGCACAGTACTTTCTTTTAAAAGCCAGTTAATCCTTTATTCATTAGTAAAACATTCTCTGGAAACAATATGTCAGCATTTAATTTGATATTGTGGTGCCAGACATAATGGTTTACTGGAGAGGCTGAGGCAGGAAGGTCACCATAAATTTGAGGCCAAATTGGGCTACATGGTGAGTTTAAGTCCAGTCTGAACTATATAGTGAGACTCTGCCTAAAATTTTAAAAATTGCAATGAACAGAGAACTCCCTAAAAACAAACAAAAATAATTGACTCATGTTTTCTTAGTTGCTTCAAGCCTAATGTGTTTTCTAACGTGGGCCTGCTTGTGACTAAGCCCAGAAATCAGTGGGACCTGATGCTGGAACTCAAAAGCTGTGGCTATGGGTGTCTTCCTGAAAGGTCAGCACCACAAAAAATGGC